GGAGAGCATGTGTCGGCGATGGATGAATCGACGTAGTCATTCGCCTTGCCTTCGTTCCAGAGTTCCCATGCCTGAATCATTGCAGGTCCAAAGTGAGTAAGAGAAGTCATAGCCAAAGATCAAGAAATCTCGGTGCCGGCTTACGTAAGCTAGAAGGTTTGGGAAGTCCATGATTAAGTGAAAGCTGCTGTTCCGAAAGCCGCTCACAATCTCCAACAGGAGCACTCCGTAGCTGTAGACATCAGACTTCACGGAAAAGAGGCCCTCCATTGCGTACTCAGGAGACATGTAACCGCTACAAGGCATCACACCACATGAATTGCATCCATGATCAGAATCTAGTAAATCAATGTGTTTACATGAACACACATCGATGATGCCGCAGGGGATGATGCTTACTATGTTCCGACGACTCTGTTTGTGTTTGCTTCATCCTGGTTGCCACCAAAAATTCTTGCCATGCCAAAGTCAGATATCTTTGGATTCATCTCTGCATCTAGCAGAATGTTGCTGGCTTTAAGATCCCGATGAATTATACGAAGCCTCGAGTCCTGGTGTAGATACAAAAGTGCTCGAGCGATCCCCTTGATTATGTTGAATCGCTTTCCCCAGTCAAGCTTTGCTTTCTGTCTTGGATCTGCAAAAAGATCAACAAGACCAACCAAGATAATGAATCTTGGGTCTCAAAATTCATGTTCTAGTCTTAAGATGCATCAGCTATAGCTAAATCTGGATTTCTCAATGATTACAAGAAAGTGAAGGACTATAACGAACCAAAGAGGAAGAAATCCAAACTTTTGTTGGGCATGTACTCATAGACCAGTAGCTTCTCTTCCCCATGGATACAGCAAGCAAGAAGCTTGACTAAGTTCCTGTGCTGTAACTTGGCAATCAAAATGACCTCATTTTTGAACTCCTCCAAACCTTGCCTAGATCCTCTCAAGAGTCTTTTAACAGCAATCTCTTGTCCTCCTGGTAGGTTTCCCTGAAATTATATATATATATTTAAATCAACTTCATTGTCATCATTGATATCCTTCCTCATAGGATATCTAATAGACATCGAGGAATCCATCTGCTCACAAGGAAGGTCATCACCTTTTCATCTTCTTTCTTATACACTATATAAAGTAACATATATAGTGAGGTTGGTGACAAAGGAATATTTGTAGTGAAGTTTTATATACCACAAGAAAAAATGAGGTCAAACACTATCAAGAATTCAACATTACGATAAATTCAGGTTTAATACTTACCTTGTAAACTATGCCAAAACCTCCTTGTCCCAGCTTATTTGAATCGGAGAAATTGTTTGTGGCACAGAGTATGTTCTCAAAACCAATTAGCGGAAGTTCTGGACCTCGATGTGGCTGCCCATCTATGAATTCGTTCGAGCCAGAGATGTTGTTTGCAAAGTCTGTACATGAGCTCAGATCACATAGTAGTTTTCCTTTCTTTTGATCCTTGAATACACCTGGTTAGGCAGTTGAGTCAATTAAATTCTCATAGCTGATCAATTTGGTTCCTAAAACTTGTAGGGACACACACAACTTACCAAATATCTCACTGAACTTCCATAAGATAAAGATGCAAGCCAAAGAAACGATACTCGCAGAAAGAGATACTATAATTACTCTCCTCCGAGTCTTCGTCTTGCTGCCTGATGTTTCTGTTTACAGAAATAACTTCAGATGCATATTCTGAAACAAAGTCCGATAAGCATTGTCGAGTGAAAGCTCCTAAGAATTCAAGATGGTGCAGCATATCTTCTTATGACTGTAGGTCAGCCAGGACGATGCAGTGTCCAGGTTCATTACAGTAACAATGTGATTGTCTCAAAGGAAAAAAAATTCTATTGTAGATAGCAGAAAGAATAGCTATATGTCAGTGGAAAGCTCAGTTTCTTGCAGTGATCAATATGTATTCATGCTCCACAACCTCAACAAGACTACCACATACTACCACCAGTGTTGCATTGAAGCAATAATATCCAAAGGGAAAGAGATAAAATGCATACCTAAACTAATATCCATTAGGCGCAAATAGAGATCCTCTCCACCGCCGCCTACCATCCCAGTATCTATCAACTCTCCCACCCAAATCAAGCACCGTGAGATCGTTGCGTTTCCCGTGGTCACATCAGAATATGCATAAGCCGTACAGGAACAATTGGTCAGGCATGCAGTTCTGCAGTCTCCGATGTTTCTGTTCCTAAGTAACACAACGTGGTCTGGTAATTTCATGCCTTCAACTCTCAGAAATCCATCTCCATCACCACACCTCAGTGCCTTCTTTCTGATGCAACCAGCCGAGAAGTTCTCAGTCTCCCAGTCACTCTGAACCTTGGGCTTAAATCCTTCCATACATTTGCATGCTGTCACTGATTCAGTACTATCACAATACGCGAATTGACCGCACCATCCATATGTTCCGCACTTGTCATTTGGCACAGACGAGTGCTTTCTCCAATTCTTGGAACTATCATCCCAAATCAGTAACTCAAGCTGCCCTAAATAGTTTAGTGTGTATCTAGTAAACAATGATGCATCTGAGACACCTAGTGTGATGAAGATCTCATCACCATCTGCTACCACTGTTAAGTATGCCACAGCGGTGGTGTTGTTTGCTCGTGATCCGATGAACATTTTCCCAATCCACACTTGGCTTCTCCAGTAGAGCTTTGTCCCCGACCAAATCAGGAGCTGTGCAGCAGTGCTGGAACCAATGCCAAGGGAGAAATTCCCTGGTGAGGGGTCGTTTGCGTCCTTCCAAGATGTAAGGTACCTGGCTGAGTGGTTGCGATAATTGTACCGGAAATTCATACCTGGAACGAAGGTGTCCGTAGGATGATCAAAGCTCTGCCACAATATATTATGACTGTTTGCTCTAAGAACCAGACTTCCTGAGTTGAGCAGCACTGCTGCTGTGTCATTGCCTGGTGTGCCAATGCCTGATAAATTTGATGACCAGAAGATGCCTCCTTCTGAGTCCACGATGACGAGGTTGCTGTCATCAGAGATTCTAAGAGTCGCAGAGGAATCATTGATTGGCTTCTCTCTGTTGGCAACCCATATGACTGTCCTTTGAGGGATGTTGTACCACACCCCGGCATAGAAATCACCAGTGGAATTTGT